CTTTCCCTTATTTCCTTCTTATCTTGCAGCCACTGTATTCACCAGATACTGGAGAGTGTGAATCACATTCATCAACATGATATTGTGCACAGGGACTTGAAGGTAACACTATCTCCATGACACTGGGACTGGGGAGATGAGCACTGTCCTTCCTGCTACAGTGACACAGGCTAAGGGCTGTTTTCACCTTATCTTGCCAGCTAGTGGGAAGCTGCACTTGTGCTGGGCTTAGAAGCTTGTGAAGCACCAGTATCAGGGAGTTCCTAAATGGCATGTTAAGCTCCAACAGAGCAGTTGCTCAGGGGCTTGCTTGAAGCACTGGCTTGCAGATGCAACAGGTAAAAGTGCAGGCAGGTCTAGGTGCAGGATAGGAAAGAGGGAAGATGAGCAGTCGGGAGTCCTTATGGAGAGGCAATTTTCAGAGGGACTTGGGTGCTGGAATTCATTAGAAGGGAGAATGCTGTTTAGTCTACTTCCAGAGAGCTCTGTGAGGGCCAGGGGTACACTGATGTGCCAGGTTGAGTTTGCTTGCATACCAGTATGTAGGTGTATAGTCCTCACTTGGATTGCCAAACACATGCTGATAAGCTAAGATGTTATATAACACGAGGTTCTTGTACAGCTGCTTTTGTATCCAATCAATATAACTTTCAGGTTAAAACTACATGACTGACCTGATGAGCACTAGCCTAATGAGGCATCTGCTATGTAATGGCACATTTATGGCCCCATGGCCCCTGTGCTGGCTTTTATTAAGCTACCTTCCCACAGTGCCAGCCATGCTGAGGTGATTTGGTTCCAAAACTTTGCCCCAGGAGGTCTGTCCATCTAGCAGTGTTCTGCATCTGAAATGCAAATGTAATAGCTGGAAACTCTTCAGTGCAAGGCAACACCCATTACTAGTGCTACTCTGTTGCAGAAAGAAGGTGGCCTCAGCAGAAACTTTCCTAAAAGTACCTTTCAAGGAATATAGTACATGCATGCTTCTTAGAAGTTCTGAAGCAATGCAGGAAACTGTTTCCTCAAGAGTAGGAGAGGTTACCTCCAAGTGACACTAATAACCAAGGCTAAGGGGACCCTGGCTGTTTTTGATGCATCAGGATGGCCCTGTAGTTTTCTGCTATAAACTTGCTTCCCAGCCACTGTCTTGGACTGAACAGAAATGCGTTCTTCTTTTCTTTTCACATAGTATATTGTGGGTGCTTCTCTAAGGTCTCTCTGGTGGCAGCATTCTCCCTACTATGAGCCCTGTAGCCAATGACACTGCCTCCACTGTGAGCCCCATAGTTGATGAAGCTCACAGGGGGCAGGGTTTTCCCTGCAGCTGACCACTGCGAGCCTTGTCAGCTGCAGAGTTGGCAGCAGGTGGTCTGTATAGGCTCCTGTGCGTCTCCTGTGTGTCAGCCTGGGGGAATTTTTTGCAATCACTTTGCCTTTGGGTTGTGTTGAATGCACAGTTTTGCCTCAGTGATGGAAGAATGAGGAGTGGTATCCCAGCCCAGCACATGAGAGAGGTGACATAGGGCCTGCACTGATATGGGTGGGTAGTAGTGGTAACACAGAAGCACTTAATCACTGTAAAGGGAGATTTGCAGCACAAACAGATGGAGTCTTTGATAGTGGCACAAGCAGCACTGCAGTGAGCAATACAAGGTTTTCCCTGCAAGGGATGAATGTTCCTGCCTTTTTAGACAGTGCTTTCTCATGCTGGATTTCTGTTTGGCAATCCTTATTAGCACTGTATTTATTTGTCCAGGGCTTTGGGCACCATGTGATGTTCTTTGGGAACCACATCACTGCAGATTGTATCTGCTGCATCAATTTTTTTTTCCTCTCCATGGATGTGACAAGTGAGTGGATGCTTTGCTGCCGAGATTGTGTTACCAGCACCATCTGGTGTCAGGATGAGGTATATAGAGGGTGGGCTGAGAACAGTACAGAGAATGTAAGTATGGACAGAGGAAGGTGAGATCAGTGTCAGGCTTGGAGACTCTTCTTTTTTTTTTTTTTTTTTTTTTTTTTTTCTTTTTCTTTTTACTGGTAAGAGAGCCATTTTTGGGGATATTAAGAGCTATGATTTAAGACTGTATTTTCCACTGACTGCTCTGCTGCTGTATATTAGGCTTGTTTTCATACTGGATCTGCAGAATAAATTTAACAGTCCAAAATGTTAAGGGAGGGAGTTTTTAATATGGATTTCTCTCTTCCCCCATCCCTGCTCTCTTTCTTTTCCTCTTCCCAGCCTGAGAACTTGTTACTGGCAAGTAAATGTAAGGGTGCTGCTGTCAAATTGGCTGACTTCGGACTGGCTATAGAAGTGCAGGGAGAACAGCAGGCCTGGTTTGGTAAGAAGAGTATTACTGAACCTTCTCAATACTGCCCACCCTTCCATTTTTCTATTGTTTTTTATTTATTTATTTATTTATTTATTACTCTGTGTACACTGGACTCTGGGAAGAATCAAGCTGATTTGTCATTATCCTAGACATTTTCCTATTATTTCTTCCAGGAAACTAGTTAAAAAAAAATTGGCATCTTGACTAGGGACAGAAGTTACACACAAACCAGTATAAGGATTGGAAACTGGTTCAAATCTGTAACATAACAGAAGTTCAGTGCACATAAACCACTTTCAGAATGGCTGAAACCGGCTCAAGATAAACCTGGATGGATGTAGTATCAGACTTAACTGATTTAGGTTGAATCAGTTTATTGAATTTCTGTCCCAGATTCAAGTTAATTCATAGTCATCCAGGATCCCAGAATGCTTTGCACCTCCCCTGCAAAGCCCCCCTCACAGGATGGACAGGCTAGCCTGGGCCCAAGCCGTCTGCTTCAAGTAAGTAGGGAGGTTTGTTCTTGCACCCCTGGGCTTCTGGCCTACGCCACTGCAGGCATGTGGCTGCATTTCCAGAATCAAAAGTGAACATCTCTTTACTTGTTTATCAGCTCAATATACACAACTTAGACTAGCCTGTGAAGACTAAATAAATCAGTAGGGTTGTGCAAAGCTTCAGTCCCTCATTCGATTCAGCAGAGATTCGGCCCAATTCCGTGTCCAAATCTCCTAATCAAATCAGGAGACCCTTTAATCTCTCCGAACCAAACCCTCCAAATCAATTCAGAGATTCAGACATAAATGCAACTTCAAATGTTTTTTCTACATACCTCGAGGTACCTGGTGGCTTGTGAATGCCATGATACTGGCGCAGATGGAGCATCCCACAGGAGCGCAGGGGGTCCCCAGTGCGCTTGGCATCAGATCCAGAAGTGGACCAGAAGTACTTCCGGGTCTACCAGGGAACACGCTGGGGGCCCCCCCCCAGCTCAGCGACTGGTGCCTCCTGGGTCTGGGGCAGCACCTGGGGTCCCCTCGCAACTTATCACTGAGTCAGGGGGGCGCAAGGGGGCCCCTCAGCGCACTTCCCTGGTGGACCTGGCAGCGGACCGGAAGTACTTCTGGTCCACTTCCGGGTTTGCTGCCAAGCACGCTGGGGACCCCCCAATGCTTCTGTGGGACACTCCATCCGCCTCAGCATTGCAATATTCACGGGCTACGCCTGGTACCTTGAGGTATGTAGAAAAAACATTTAAAGCTATGTCTATGGCCAAATCGCTGATTCTCCAAATCAGCATCGAATCCCCAATTTGGCCCAAATCCGAATCGAATACGACCCGTTTCGCATACCCCTATAAATCAGCCTCTGATCTAGATCTGTAATACAATGGGAGCAATAACATTTCAGTGCAATTGCAATAAATGTGATTATCTGTTCTGTTTTCTTTCTCCATAGTGCCATAGGGGTTAGTCATAAAGGAGACCCTGGCTACAAAGTGTAAATTTTGATCCAAACTTTCCTACTACCCAGGAGCTGTGGGAGGATTTTCTAGCATTTTTAGAGAAATGTGGGCCATTGCAAAGTTTCATGCTTTGATCTGAACTTCTTTGGAAGTACTTGGTTCAAACTCATCTCTGGTTACATGTAACAGAATGGGGAACCAAACTTGGCCCAGCTAAATTTTCAGCATTGAAATTCCTCAGGGATTGTTTTCCTGCAGATTACTGCAGTATGGCAACTGTGATGGGTCTGTCCACATCATTTGGCTATGACATGTCCTGTTAGTGTCCAAGTTTCAGTTCTCTATCCCCAACCTGTGTGTGCATCTCAGTAGAGAGGTGACCCAAGGATTTGGGCTCTGTAGGATGACAAAATCAAATCTCTATTTTACTTTTCAAGTGATATTTGGGTCAGTGGCCTGTCAACTCATCCCCCCACTCCATTTTATTTATTTTTTGTTTTCAATTTTGTGTATCTGTATCTAGTATATCAGACAGTGATAAGCTAAAGGGCAATTTGTGCAGTTTGGATTTTCCTGTCAACAGATCCTGTGGCACAAGGTGAAAACTTTCTACTTGTGTATTGTATATGCTTCATGTGATTCCTTTCTTGGCAGGGTTTGCCGGCACTCCAGGCTACCTCTCCCCTGAGGTTTTAAGAAAAGATCCTTATGGGAAACCAGTGGATATATGGGCATGCGGTAAGCTTCTGTTACAAACACACTTCACATTTAAACAGTGCTTTTCACAGACAGGAGCCATTCCTGTTCAGTAGGCCCATATGATCCCTATTTTGCAGATGGGTAAATGAAAACACAGAGATGGAAAGCAACCAGCCTGAAGTTGCAATAAATTTCTAATATAAAGTCTGGTTGGGTATTCAGTTGATCCTGCTTCCCAATCCTGTGCTCAGACAGCTCATCAGATCCTTCTGTTGGGCTACAGAATTAGGACCTACCCTTGCCTCGGAGCCAATGCCAGGTTGTTTAGCTTATGACATGAGCTCCTAGTATGCCAGCTATATAGAAAATAAAATTTTGTAGGAAGTTGGTTTAAATCCATAGGACCATAGTGATGTCTACCTGATGTGCAATAGACTTATTCCTACAGATTGGGGTGTTAGACTTGAGTGCCATTCTTACCTTAATAGCATGCATCAGTCCTGCAAGTTTATGCAATACCTTGCTGTTCAGTGACCCCAAAGGACAGTGGTATTTGGTTTCTGAGAGCACTTGGGATCTGTGGCTCACCAGCCATGAAGCAGTAGAGGGGCACCACACGCTCTGCTCTGGCTCCCAGTGGATTTTGGTGTGCCAGGACCAAGTCCAACAGCTGAGAAGAAATTGTAGCTCCTACTGTCTTCAGTACCTGGAGGTCTGAATATGATGGAGAGTGAAGATTCAGCATAGATGCTGCTGAGAATGATGAAAGGGAAGGAAAGAAGGTCTCTCCTTGGGTATGTAGAATAGCTGTACTGATGGAGGATGGGAGTAATTGGCAAATTAGCCTAACCATAGTGTATCTGTGTCTCTCCCTCCCAGGAGTGATTCTGTACATATTACTAGTGGGGTACCCTCCCTTTTGGGATGAAGATCAGCACAAACTCTATCAGCAGATCAAGGCCGGAGCCTATGACGTAAGGGCACTTTCTTGCGGGGTATCTGCATGGTCTAGAAAGCCTGTTCTACCTAGCCAGCCAAAATCTGGCATGTTATTTTACTCAATGGCCAGCAGCAGTCATAGGACTGCTGAAGCTTGGAGCATTCATAGGGTTCATGCTTTTTGCTGCTTGTAGCATGGAACTATGTGGGGGCTGCTGGCATAGTGCACCGGGAGGTGTGGCTGGGGGACAAGGATGTTGAGTCAGTAGAGAAGTCCAAAACTGAATTGCTATATCTGCTGTGCTTAGTGCAGGGAAGTACGTGAGGAAACTCCGGGTAACTGTCTTTTCCAGGAGGAGCAGAAAATATGTTGGCTGAGAGGGCTTGTTGTCCTACTGTCTTAGTGAAAAATGTAGAGGTATGTCCTGTAGAGTCTCTGAACTTGGGGCCTGTGACCTCCTGTCCCAGCTGTAGAGTGCAGGGAACCTTGTGGGAAAACTAATCTGCCTAGTGGTGAGTGTTTGCGGGAAGAGTGTGGGTTAGGACTAGATTAATGGGTCAGAGGCTGTAGTGAGGGTGAAGGCATAAGCTTGGTGAAAATCTTGGAATGTGGCCAAACCAGTGGTCAGAGGTTCAGTGAGAAGTCTGGCCAAGAAGGGCTGCCTCATGGCAAGGAGGTCATGGCTGGAGCATAGTGATTAGGAAACTTTCACATGAAGAAAATAAAGCTTGAATTTTTTGTTCAAGGCAAGGCACCATGTATATTGCAGAAAAATTGTAGGGTTTTATTCTGTGGGTAACTGGTGCCCAAACATGGCATAAAGCAAAGGGAGCGGGAAGATGCAGATGCAATATTTCTGCTGGATTCCAGTAACCTCCCCTACTTTCAGGCCCATATCAGCCCCTGTCCTTTATTACCCATTTTGTTTCTAGGTTCCTTCTGGTTTGCTTGTTGCTGTTACAAACTGATAGGATGTGTTTGTAACTGGACCATAATGGGATTTTCAAAGTGTCTAAGGGTTATGTACTCCCTTGTGATTAGTAAAAGGAGTTGGTCATGTCTACACTGGCTGGTAGGAATGCCCTGAGCATACTCCACTCCAATCATGTCTTGCAAGCTCTGAACTTAATGGACTACAGGGTATCTTCAGCAACTGCCTTGGCACTCAGGAGCATGTCATTTTAGTTGACTGCAGAAGCAGTGGTTATTTTGAATTTCCAAAAATTCAAAATTCAAAAATTTTGAATTTTTTATTTTGTCATTAAATAGGGCTTGTGTGATTCAGAGGGAGACCTATTGAATGGATTTAGTCTCAAGGTTTAGGTTTTTCAGAATGTTACCGTGCATCTTTTTTTTTTTTTTTGAGGGGAGAGGAAAACCTTTACTTGTGATACTTGAAGGAAACGTTTTCAACTTGGGTAAAATCCTTTTTTTTTTCTTTTTCTTTTAAATCACAGTTGGCTTTTAAAACAACTGACCCTTTTTAACAGGTTTATCTTTTGTCCTGTAAGTGATATGTGTTCATAGGCTGTAAATTCTAATCCTGTAAGACAGCCGTGTTCCACTTGATCTCAAGGTGCTCTCATCTGTAAGATTCCCAAATACTTGGAGTAAGATGTAAAGGGCTCTGTATTCATCAGAACTGATATACTGGACTGAAATGGGTGGAGGAAATGTTTGCCAAGGGTTGTCAGTAGTAGTCATAGTTTAGAATTCTGCCTTTCATCTCCAAACTCGCATATTGCCATCCTATGTGATCTCACAAACTCCTTTTGAGTGCTTGTCTATAATATGCCCCATTTGTTGTGGGTATATGCGTGCTGAAGCTTTCTGACACTTCTTTTGCCCAAGTAATACCTGTTTAACACTCATACCATCTGTCTCTGCCAAAGGCATGAGGTTGTGCATGCTTCTGCTCCTCGGTCCTCAACCACCTTGCCTGGAGACGGACCTATTGCAGTCTGACCCAAACCATGTTTTTGGCCTACAGCTGATTCAGAGCCTGGGGTTTTTTTTGGACCTTTAGTTACCTGCTCTTATTTCCCTTCCTTCTTTTCCCTTCAGTCTGTCCCTGTCTTAAGCAAGACCTTGCGGCTCTTCTGGCTTCTGCCATGTGTCTTACCTAGCTATGTAAGGCTTCAGTTTTCATAGGATCATAGAAAATTAGGGTTGGAAGGGACCTCAGGAGGTCATCTAATCCAACCCCATGCTCTAAGCAGGACCTTCCCCAACTAGATCATCCCACCCAAAGCTTTGTCTCGCTGGGTCTTAAAAACCTCCAAGGATGGAGATTCCATAACCTCTCTGGGTAACCTGTTCCAGTGCTTTACTACCCTCCTAGTGAGAGAAATTTTCCTAATATCTAACTTAAACTTTCCCTGCTGTAACCTGAGCTCATTGTTCCTTGTTCTGTTATCTGTCCCCACAGAGAATAGTTGAGCTTCATCCTTTTTGGAACCACCCTTCAGGTAGTTGAAGGCTGCTATTAAATCCTCCCTCAGTCTTCTGTTTTGCAGAAGATAAGCCCAGTTCCCTCAGCCTCTCCTCAGAAATCATGTCTCCCAGCCCCCTCACCATTTTGTTGCCCTCTGCTGGACTCTCTCCAATTTGTCTACATCCTTTCTGTAGTGGGTGGGAGGGGAGGGTGCAAAACTGGACACACTACTCCAGATGTGGCCTCACCAATGCTGAATAGAGGGAAAGAATCACCTCCCTTGATTTTGCTAGCACCCCTCCTACTAATGTAGTCCAGTATGCTCTTAGCCTTCTTCACAACAAGGGCACGCTGTTGGCCGATAATCAACTTATTTTCAACTTATTTTCCCCATGTGCTTTTTGGGCCTCTCCCTCAATTGTTGTGGTTTCCCTTGCTTGGAATCAAGCCAAGTTTGGGGCATCCTATGGAGCCTGCAAGGCATTCTTGCATTACGTCATGGGGCATTGCATCCAGGTGATGCAGATAAGCCCACCATGATATTCTCCATCAACAAACAAGGGGATGAGAGAGATTTTCCCCCACACTCCACCAGTCCCTATTTAAGGAAGCAGTCATCCTCTAGGAGTGGTATATCTATTGCTGGATGCAGCTGTTGGCAGGGTACCACCCAGATGTTCAGAATACCTGAGCAGGCAGCCTCAGAAGAAGCATCTCCTTGCATCATGAATGGGATATCAAGAGCTTGGTCCTGTAGTTAGCTAACTAACTTTCTTAGCCTGAGGTCAGTCTGTGGCAGACTTGTTTTTCTTAGACATTAACAAGAATTGTTGGGCCTTTTGTTCCAAAGGAAGGGTATCCCAGGTTCTCTTCCTGATGTATCCATCATTCCATGGTCAGGGAAACATTTTTGTATACATTCCTAACTATGCCTCTTGTGAGTGCTGAGCAAATTGAGACTGGATTTTGCACAGTTGATGCTGCTGGCCTCAGCCTGGTTGGGGCAGCTCTGGTTTCTGGATCTTCCTTTGTGTCAGTGAGGAGCCCTAGGACTCTGCCACTGCCCTGGACTTGCTTCCCCAAATGGGAAGGTGCAGATATTCCATTCAGATCTTCACATCCTGTATCTTGCAGCATGGATGTTGAATCACTTTTAGTGGTAGATGAGTCTGTTCATCCACTATAAGAGGCATTCTCATTGAGGGAGGCAGACTAGGTCTCTTCTTAGACTACTTCCTGGAGCTGAGCCACAGTTGCCTATCTCTCAGCTCTATGCAACTGTACCAAGCAGCTGTTGTAGTTCACCACACACTTTATGAGAGTCAGTCTGTTGTCTTCCACCTGCCAGTGCAGAAAATCCTCAAGAACCAGAGAAGCTCTGTGAGATTCAAACCTAGTCCTTACAGCCCCGATGCACCTGCTCTTTGAACATATGGCAACTTGTTTGCTACTCCGTCCATCCGTGAAGACTGCCTTCTTGATGGCCATCACCTTGGCCAGAAGGGTGGGTGAAATTATATACAGTGATGGCAAATCCTCCCTGGGAAACTTTCCCCATGGTCTTACCATCGTGGAACTGGAACTGAAGAGAGCCTTGTCCCTTTACATGAACAGTGTTTAGCCTTTCTGTAAATCCCCATGGCTGTTTGCCTTTCATACATTAGGAAAGCAGTATCTGCCCAAAGACCATGTAAATGTTGCTTGGACAGCAGCTGGGCCTGCAATAAAATTGCTAAAGTGAGCCCATAGGTTATGATTGGAGTATACTCCAGCCAGGCAACTTTGACTTCTCCTCAAAATCTCTCTAATAATAGCACCTGAAAAGCATGTGCCTGGAGCTTCATGAACCTCTACTAAGCATTATGCCATCAGAGAAGCTGTTTGGCAAAGCAGTTCTTTGGTAATGATTTGCCTAGAGCAGGAGTAGGCAATGTTTTTTGGCCAGAGTGCCCCACAACGGCTACCTTGAAAGGTGCCGGAGTGCCAGCATGCCAGAAAAACAAAATGAGGGCAGGGGGTACATGGCAGGATGCCCTGATCATGACCCTTGCCTCCCACCCAAAGCTTCTGCCCCCCAGCCCAGGTTCTGTGTCTGTCAGCAGCTACCCAGAACCTGGGCCAGCTGCAAACATTTGCTACCACTCCGCCCCAGCCCCGGCCCATGCCCCGGGCTCCGGGGAGGCAGCGCATACCGGCAATGCTCCCTGCTGTGTTGCCTGCACCACTTCTGCAAAGCAGTGTTGGAACCTGGCGCAGCAGGGCACAACAGGGGGCACAGAAAGCTGCCTGTTCTGAGCTCCCCACTGCCCTGTCACACTTCCCCTGTGTGCATGGGAGCAGCGTGGGTAGCAGTACAGGGTTGTGCCCCTCTCTACTGCCCCTGCCTGCAGGGGAAGTGTGGCAAGGCAGTGGGGAGCTGGGAGCAGGCAGCTTTCTGCTCCCCCCATTGTGTCCTGCCGTGCCAGGTTCTAATGCTGCTTTGCAGAAGTGCCGAGGGCAGCACAGTGGGGAGCATTGCCGGTATGTGCTGCCTCCCTGAGGCCAGGTCTGGGGTTCGGAGGCAGGTGGGGCCAGGGCAGAGTGGCAGCAGATGTTTGCAGCTGGCCCTGGCTTTGGGTAGCTGCTGACAGCCACAGGGCCCGGGCTGCTTGCAGCAGAGCTTCCATGAGAGCAGCCCAGGCTCCGTGGCTATCAGCAGCTACCTAGAGCTGGGGCTGGCTGCAGCTGGGAGGCTACAAACAGCTGCTGCCCTCCCACCCCAGCCCCAGGCTCCGGGAAGGCAACAGGTGCCAGCACTGTGCCCATTGGGGCCAAAGCCAGGGGCAGGGAGGCAGCAGCTGTTTGTAGCCTCCCAGCTGCAGCCAGCCCCAGCTCTAGGTAGCTGCTGATAGCCATGGAGCCCAGGCTGCTCCCAGCAGAGCTTGCAGTGTCCGAGCTGCCTGTTACGAGCAGCCCAGGCTCCCAGCTAGGAGCAGCTACCCAGAGCTGGGGCTGGCTGCAGTCAGAAGGCTGCAAACAGCTGCTGCCTCCCTGGCCCTAACTCGTGCCAAGGAAACTGGCCTCGCATGCCATGCTTGGCACTCATGCTAGGAGTTGCCAACCCCTGGCCTAGAGCTTTGATAGATGCCTCCAAGTAGACAGCCTTCTCACTGCAGAATGTGCATATGGAAGCTCATTTGAAAGAGAGAGACATTCCCTATTTGTACATGGAGTTCTTCATGATGCATTTTCCATGGGCTCATTCCATATTCCTCCTTCTTCCCCTGTCCCTCAGACACACAAGTAGAGGTAAGACATGCATGTTATAAAGGCACCTACTATAGTTCTTGAGCTTGAGTGTTTGAGGTGCATGTACCTTCACAAGGGAACGTGCAGATAGACAGGACACCTCAAACTCAAGTTACTGGTGAGTAACTTCTTTCCTTGGATATCAATTTGGGATTCTGCAGACCTTATTACAGCTTTTTAGTGATGGGGAGTGGGAGGAATGTTGTGAGTTAAAGGAGATTGTTCTCTTTTCATGCACCTGCTCTGAATATTCATTTTAAAGATCTGAAACTTTTCTCCTTGAGTTTTTAGTCTGAATAAATTCCAATAGTGTGACTGAATTTTGAAATGTTTGTTTACCTGTGTATAGTAGTCAATGAGTTTTTGGTTGTGGCTGTATTGGTCTAAGGGCATAGGCAGGCAAGGTTTTTTTGGTTCAGATGTGATATCATTTATTAGACCAACTGAGTACGGTAGTTGGGGAAAAGTTCTTAGCAAGCTTTCGGGCACAGTAACACTTTGCCAGGCATAGGGAGTCTCTGCTAGTCTGAGACGCCAAGGAATGAGAGAAGCTAAAAGTGTAGTAGGATGTCAGTGAAACTGTAAATAGGTAGAGATAACTAAGACAAATGGTAAAGCAGGGGGGGAAGGGCAAGAGCAAGGGGAAAGAGAAAACAAAAATAGAAAACAGGTCAAAGGGAGACCTTTTGTTTTCTCCCTCTGACCTTTGGGGGGCTTTTTCTCTTTCCTCCTGCTCTTTTTCCCCCTCCCCTCCCCTGCTTTACCTTTTTGTCTTGCTTACTGCTACCTGTTTATACTTTCACTGACATCCTACCACACTTAGCTTCTCTCATTCCTTGGAGTCTCAGACCAGCAGAGACTCCCTATGCTGCCTAGTGAAGGGTGACTGCGCCTGAAAGCTTGCTAAGAAGTTTTTTCCAACTAGTCGATTGGTCAAATAAAAGATATCACATCCAACCAAAAAACTGTGCCTAGCTAGTCAATGGGCATTCAGTGTACAGCCATCAAAGTGGCACATGTATGTATACACTGTGCTTTGGAGTCATTCATCAGGTTCCTTAGAGCTTTCATGCTGTAGGTGCTTTGCAAAGCTTCATGTCCCCTGCAAGCTTTCCGATTCCGAAGGGATTAATGCTTGAGTGCCGCTCAGTCTAGGGGAGTGCGTTCCCTTTAGAAAGGGAAGGGTTATGGTGTTCAGGGTCTCACCTCTCTTCTCCTTTTCTCCTAGTTCCCATCACCTGAGTGGGACACAGTAACTCCTGAAGCAAAGAACTTGATCAATCAAATGCTGACAATAAACCCAGCAAAACGCATCACAGCAGACCAGGCTCTCAAACACCCATGGGTCTGCGTAAGTTTCTCCCTTCCTGTCTATTTTTTGTTCCAGTCATATAAATATCCATGGTGAAGCAGCATATTGAGGATAGGGATGCTGAGCAAAGGGGTACTTCTAGGGGTACAACAATAAAGATTTTTAATGAGCCATATTGGCTGATACTGATCTGATTGCTGATATGCAAGCCTGGCAGCTTGGAGAGGAGTGTCTGGCTGATAAGTCTGTTGGGGGGAAGGGGGAGGGGCTTGCAGGGTGCAGATCAAGGCCCCTACAGTGAGGGAGGAAGTGAGGCTGGGCAGGTGCTGCCCAGCCAGGCAGGGCACGGAACAGCTGTGAGCACCTTATCTGGGGGGTGTAGAAAGTGGGGGGTGACTCCCACTGCTGCGTGCAGCCCCAGGGGAGGCACTGGGGGGGGCATGTGCCCCCCAGATGTGTGCACAGGGAGAGGGCAGGCTGGGGCTGAGGCCAGGGGTGGTTTCAGGCTCTTCCTGGCAGGGGAGTTGAGCTGGGGCTGTCTGGGGGGGGGGGGTGCTATGGTGAATTTTGGGGTGGCTTGAGCCCAGCCTGTAGCCCCCCCCCTCCCAGCACCGCCACCTGCCCTGAACACAGCCCTCCTGCAGGAAAGGTCCAGGTGCCAGCCCCAGGCCGCAGCAGCAGCCTACCCTTGCTCCAAGCACAGATTCCAGGGGGTACATGCCCCCCCTGTGCCTTCCCTTAGGGTGCACACAGCAGCAGGAGCTGCTTCCCCTTCCTGTGGCCCCCAGACAAGCCACACCTCCATCCCCAGGCCTGCCCTGCCTGGGCTGGGCAGTGCCTGACCCTGCCCCAGCCCCACTCCCTCCCTCACCGTGGGGGGGCCTCAATCTGCCCTCCCCAACACCCCTTGCCCAGCCCCATCCCGACGTACCAACTGGATGCTGCTCTTCAAGCTCCCGGGCTACACGGGTGTTGCGGCTGCATGCATACATGGGGCATTTATCAGCCAAAAAAGCCAATTATCAATAATGTCAATTTTCCTTACATCAGTCCATATCATATTGGCACCAATAAATCTGTGCACCTCTAAGTACTTCTGGTGGCAGAAATCAGGTGCTGCCTTAAACCAGATTGTTTAATTTGGATTGTGGGTGGTGACAGGGGAAGGGCCAACCTGTTGCATAGGGTTACATAGTTCATTTTGGAATTTGCAGAAAAATGGCTTTGATTTTCAGGATAATTTATCCAGGAACTTAATTTTTTTTTGGTGCAGATCATAATAAGTCATGTACAGGGGGACAACAGGGCTTGTGACTTATGAATCTTCAGTCCCAGTTTGTGGTAGTTTGTCTTTGCAATTGAGTTGGAGCATTTTCACATTTGACTTTGGAAAAACAGGCTTACCATATTGTCATTAACTGTAGCTGTAATGCTGGCAGTAGTGAAATGTTTTTAGCTAGTTCTGTCCATTAAGCTGTCTCCTTTATAGACCACAAGTGTGGTTATCTTCTCATCTCCTGCAGAGCTGACAGGGATATCCTGAAATGCAGTTGGGGGCAGGTTGGGGAATGACTTCTCCCTTTGTCAGACTGAATGTTTCTACTTGAAACTGACTAAACAGAATCATCTAACACCATAGCATGCTGCTGCTGGTTTCCTTTTGTGTTCTTAGTATGCTATTAGCTAACTCTTGTTTACCTGTTTATGAGAGAATAGCGGTAAGTTTCCCATTTCTCCAAGAGAAATGTAGCTGGCAATTCAAGTGTTGTGTTTGTGTACTATTATCATTGTGAACACTGGGCTGGATCCTTATCTAATGTAATGGGGGCAGGTTCTACTGCAGTTGGAACTGTGCACATTTACACTAGCAGAGGGTTTTTTTCCTGCATGTCTGTAACCAAATTGTGGCTTTTATATTTTAACTTTCACACGGGAAGCTGCTCCGACAGTGTAATTGCAGCGCATCAGAGCAGACTCAATTAATCAAGTCTGCTGGAGCATGCTAATTAGTGTGCTCCAGCAGCCTCTGTGTCTTGTTTATCAGTGTCCCTGTACTTCAGAGTGGCAATGGACGCCCTTTTACTACAGCTTATTCATTTTGAAATGCAGGGATGATAATGCATGAGACACTGTAGGCACTTTAATTAGAGTGGTTCTCAGAGCTGTTCTAATTAAAACGCTCCACCCTCCCCCAAGCCCTCAAGCATGTGTAGAAACGCCTTTGGTGTTTAAAGCTGTTCTCACAGTGTCCATTGCATCCCCTGTGTGTATGATGCATACATCCCCATTCTTGAGACTTGTTGCTGTCCTTAAGTGATCCAAAAGACTAGCCATGGTTTTGCATGGAAGCACGAGACATGCCTGCCAGGGTCAACAGTCTTAATGCTTTGTGGCATTATATGCAAGCCACATTGCTACAGCTTCATGTTCAGGCCTTGTGTTCACTCCACAGGAGGCAGAGTAAACCTGAAACAAGTTGCTCTTTAGAAGAGATCAGCTGAGTGCCTCCTTCTCCTCCAACAGTTGTCAGTGCTGATTTGCATCAGGTGCCTAGCCTTTAAAGCAGGGTTGGTAGGTTTGAGGTCGCTGTAGAGCAGGGATGTCCAAAATATCTTCTAAGGGTCAGAGCTGTATTATGTGGCCCCTGTGGGTCTCAAAGTGGCCCACAGGCAACATGTGGGGTGTGCTGGATAGGCTACACAGTGCTTGCTCCAACTTGGAGTGATAGGAGCAAGACCAGCACCTGCTCTGGTTGCTCCAGGACATGTATTGGAATGCAGAGCCAGCCTGTGCACAGGCCCTGTACCACAGGCTGGGTGAGTTCAACACCTGTGCTGTTCCTTCCATAACTAGCAGATTCTCAACAGCATGTGTTTTGTTTTTTTTCTCACATCTTGAAGAATTTGTTCAAACCAAGAGGTAGCTAATGGAGGATCTAGAATACCTGTAGTTCAGCCATGATAATTCTTCACCCACTGAGCTTGTAAAGAGATTCCAGACTAGTACTAGTGTGTTTGAGTAAGCTTTAGCTAGTTCTGGCATTCTCCTCTGGCTTCCTAATGTGCTCTGAATCAATGGTGGTACTTCTGGGAAGTGCAGCTCCTGCAGCTGCCGTTACTTCAGCCAGCTGCTTGTGCAAGTTTGCACCACCTTCTAAAGGTTATGCTCAGGCTGTTGGTTTGATATGGTAGAATTCTGTGCCTAAGCCACATGATTCTCTCCCCATTGCTTGCTAAATATCTCTGGCATTTGATGCGAGGGGGCTGAGTCCTTTGCATACTGTGCCAGTCACAAACTCAGATTCAATGAGAGCTTTGTTCACTAGGTATCAGGAGGACCATGCAAATGGTGTTTATTCTGTAGTTTGAATTTTCTTTTTGAGGTTTTAGTAACAAAACTCCACATCTTCTCTCTGTTGCTCCTCTCTGTGTAATTACTGGCTAATTTGACTTGCCTTATTTTTATGTTCACTTTTTCTTAGGCATCTGAGAAACAGATCATTGTTATTCATGTGTACCTCAGTTACTTAATTTCCCAGGCCTTTGACCTCATACTGTGGCAAGAGATTTTAAACAAGTTAGCTTGTTACTAATGTCACATTAAAGCTGATTTCTGCCATCAAGTCCTCATTATCAAGCTAGTATCTGGTTAAAAAAATGGGCACCTGAAAATGAGGAGCTTAGTCATGTTGGTTTGCATATTGGTGGTGCATAAGTAGAGAGTTGGAGGAAGAACTTGTCTTGCTAATTTGTTTAGAACACTTTAATGATCCTTTCTTGATTCTGTTTTCCAGCAACGATCCACTGTGGCCTCAATGATGCACAGACAAGAGACTGTGGAGTGCTTGAGAAAGTTCAATGCCAGAAGAAAGCTGAAGGTTAGTCTGTTTTCTTTTCTGGGTGGTGGGAAGGGGGGTTTGGCATTGTTTAAAGCAAAGGACTAGATGAATGGGAGTGTATTTGTAGCTCTGCTACTAAGTTTGAGCCTGTAAATGTTCTTTTTCTTATTTGCCCGAGTGCTTTTTCTGAAGTGGGGCTAATATTTATCTGGCAATGGAGTTTTGGAAAATGAGCTTATGAATATTTGCAAAGTGCTTGCTAAGATCTCTTGCTCTGTAACACCTTATTTTGGGGGGGTTTGTTCCTGCAAAGCTCCTAGTTTTCTTTCTCTTCATACTCCCCTATCTCTCCTATACATGAAAGTTGAAATAAGGAACTGAGCTTTTAGAGCTGTTGCCTGCCCTGCTGGTCAGTCTTCTGACTCCCATTCCTAGTGTAAAAAGTAACATAACTATTGGACAGCATCTGTCTGCCCCATCCTGTGCCTGGGGCTGTTGTTAAACTCTGGAAGGCTGTGTTTCAGCACCTGCTGTGATCTGAAATGATCAGACCTATTTATCCATGTTCTTTCTTCTGTACAGGGTGCGATTCTCACAACAATGCTGGTGTCACGGAATTTTTCAGGTAAGTTCTCCATATTGTCATCCCTTCCTCCTTTTTATTGTACATCAGTCGGGATGCATTTTAATCCTTTGGAGAGAAGAGGGAATTCAAACCATTAGCACTGAATGGTATTTTTGTCAACACAGTGGTCAGCATGGAAGAAAGGTAAGATGCGTAGCTGCAGTCTGGCACAAGACAGGAATTCAGTCTGTTGCCTGAGGCTTTACTGCTTGGGACATTTTAGTGAGTCTCTTAGCATTTTCCTTTAGGAGCTTCAGTTGTCAGGTACTATACCTCTGCAGTAGTGCTTCCTTCAAACCTGAAAAAATGCTTCTGCTAAGAGCAGGTAATGGTATTGCTGTCATGGCAGGACAATAGCTATTGGGGCTTATTTGACTCAACCAGGAGTGGTATAAAACAGGGGTGTCAAACATACCACTTGTGGAGGTGGATCATCTAGACTGCAGTGTTTCACTCTAGCCATCTGATTCACCTCCAGATCAAGCCAGCAAGGCTTTTCACCACAACCCCCAGAGCCACTGTGCTAGTGTGGCCAACACCTTGGGGGTTACCACTACCTTGCTCTTTAAAGACCACCAAATTTCCAGTTCCTGATCACCATTCAGGAAGCAAACCTGTGGCAGGTTAGTGAGCAGTAGTGGTATTAACTCCCACATGCTGGGTATGCTGATACAGTAGTTTTGGCAGGTGCAGCAGAAAACCCCACAGGCCAGATCCTGAAGTGGATTATCTGGCCTGTGAGAAGCCCTACAACCAGGATGTAGCCTGCCAGCTTGTTTGAGTTTGACACTGCTGGTCCAAAGCATGAGAGCTGTTGAGATTTTCCTTCTTGGTGTCTGAACTGGTATTCATTCTTTTAGACTTGGCAGTGCTTAGCATGGCCCCAAACTGAGAATACTGTGTGGTACGCTTGCTGAAAACAGAGCCAAACATGGAAATCAGATGAGGCTTTTCTGAAAGATATGTATGGTTGCTGGGTTCTGTTTTCATTAACATTCATTCCCATCTGGCATTATTTTTTTTAGGTGGGTGGTCTCCCTTTGTACATGTGCCTGCCAGTATTTGGGTCTACTCACAATACTTTAGCTGAAGCACGTCAAATTCTGCTATGACCCTGGGCCACATCTGGACTTTGGGGGCTGGATCCAGTCCAAGGACCGGGGGCAGCCAGGCTAGGTGTTGGTGGGGCATCTATCTAGGACCAAGCTTGCTACTGATGGCCACAGTCAGTTGAGCCAAAGGACCCTGAATTCTGTGGCAGGCCACACCACCAGTTTCCAAAGGTAGTGGGTAGGGATAGAGTGGCTTCATGGTTCAGATGTTTGCCACCCTTGCTTTAGCCCTTGCTTTAGCCCTCTTGGCTGTGTTTTCCATCTTCAGAATGCACTGGCTGCACTGTAATACATTCCCTAAGCCAGGTTTTACTGTGCCTGCCTTTACTTACTCTGAGTCTTCCGTTGGAGTATAATTTGGGCATGAATGATTGGTGCCTGCTGTGACTGGGGGGAGGCACCATGACGGGGAGTGGGTACTGCCGGCAACAGCTGCTGCCAGCTGTGTTGGTGGCAAATGGGGGGCAGGGGCAGGCAGCAACTGCCCACAGAAGCCAGCAGCAGCTTTGGCAACAGCCAATCTCAGGGTGGCACATCATCTCCCCCCCACCACCATGCGTCGCCTATGAATTTGGGCATGGTTAATGAGAAGCAACAGTAATGTAACCTCCTTCATTCCCCATTTCCTTTTACTACATGCTTTAATGATGGGCACTGAAATGCATTTTCCATGCTATAATGCAGAAAACTTTTCATTAAGAGAAGTCTCCCATGACATGATTAACATGGGGCTTGAAGTGCATGCATACACAAGCATTCTTTTAGGACAGGGGTTGTCAACCGGGGGTACACGTACCCCCAGGGGTACTTGAGAAGGCCCTGGGGGTACGCAGGCACAGAGCACCGCCAAGCACCATCCCCTGCTGCCAACTGCCCACAGAAGCCAGCAGCAGCTTTGGCAACAGCCAATCTCAGGGTGGCACATCATCTCCCCCCCACCACCATGCGTCGCCTATGAATTTGGGCATGGTTAATGAGAAGCAACAGTAATGTAACCTCCTTCATTCCCCATTTCCTTTTACTACATGCTTTAATGATGGGCACTGAAATGCATTTTCCATGCTATAATGCAGAAAACTTTTCATTAAGAGAAGTCTCCCATGACATGATTAACATGGGGCTTGAAGTGCATGCATACACAAGCATTCTTTTAGGACAGGGGTTGTCAACCGGGGGTACACGTACCCCCAGGGGTACTTGAGAAGGCCCTGGGGGTACGCAGGCACAGAGCACCGCCAAGCACCATCCCCTGCTGCCATACAGGCACTACCCACCCAGCCAGATGCAGAGAGCGGCAGAAGCTCGCATGCAGCGGCTGCCCCAAGCCCCCCAGCCGGCGCCTGCCGCCGCTCAACATTCAACTGCGTACCCCCTCCCCCCGCTCTGCGTTCAGCCTCATGCCACCCCCTCCCACTCCATATCTGGTTACATGCCACCCCCCACCTTGCTCCGTGTCCGACAGCTGGGGTATACTGCTCCGCATCTGGCTGCCAGGGAGGGGTACACTGATCCAAAAAGGTTGAAAACCCGTTTTGGGGAATCCAGGTGGCCCCTTGGTTTAGCCAGAATGTGTGTAATTCAAGTGATGTTACATTCAGTAGAAGAACTGAAAGCTACTCCAGTAACTGCAGTGGGGCAGCCCCCAGGAACCTGAGAATTGTTGGTTCCTTTTGCAAATTGAACCTATGCAAGCATGTCAGGGCCATGCAGAAACTAATCTGGCTGTGGCAATGCTTCTTTTTGTTGTGGTCCTTTAATTGTCAGGGAGACAAAGTTATTCTGCCCCATGAAATTGCCTCTGTATAGTCAGTCCAGTGATAGGAACTCAAAGCCATACTTTGTTATCCTAGAATAATTCTAAAGCAGATGAATCCTTAACATTGAACTATGAATCCAGTGTTTTATAGTCAAAGTTATAAAGAAGTTCTGTCTAACTTTTTCAGGAGCAGGCAGCCTTCAATCTGTTTCTCTCCAGCTGATCACACAGCTAATTTTATTTCACATACTCCCTTTCTGATAATGTTTTGGTCATTGTTTAAATAATACCGGATGCATATTTTAGTAAGATTAATGCCATCATCCACTTCTGATGAAATGGGGGAAGCTTTAGGATTTGGTGTAGTGGTCTTCAGCACATTGGGTATGTGCAATGCATGAGAAGGGTGTACTTTTTAATGTGCTTTGGCCAGTGCTAGACCTAGAGATAGAAATGTGTAGAAAAGGGCTTGCTTTGCTCATTTTGCTGTATCTTGGGGTCAGAGTGTTTTAATCCAAATTTTTCATTTTGTGACTAAGAGGAGAAGGGAACTTTTTTGATCCATGCTGAGCATACAGTTCCTGTACCATTAAGTTCTTCCCCAAAATAAGCAGCACTCAAAGGCATACTTTGAGAAGTCATCATAAAAATGTTGCAAATCTAGATGCACGTAACAAGTGACTTTGTGTAGGAGCTATTTCTATCCCATTGGTGTTTACTGGGATGAGAGGGCTCCATAAAACTAAAGTTCTTTGTGGGAGTGATATAATCTGAAAATCTTTTCAAGTTTTCAGAGCTGTTCAGAGTTAATTCAGTGCCATTGAAACTTGTGTTATGGATGCCTGTTTATGAGCAGATTTACAAATCTGAAACCTCATCTGTTTTGTGGTTATACTTTTGTTCCTGCTTCACCTATTAAGATGATTTTAGAGATTATGTATGCAACATCCGAGCCCTGAGGAATTGTTACCTGGGCTTGTATAGCTTGTTTGGCTGTTATGGCTGGGCCTGGGCTGTATCTCCTGCAAGGTTCATCTGAATTTACTGAGTTGAGAGGAGTCCCCTGTGGTTCAGTGGTAGAATCCTTGTCTTCCACATAGGCGACCCAGGTTCAATTCCTGGATGCTTATACAAGTACAGCCATGGAAGCACCAATTGTCTGGGCCCGGTCTGGCCTTTGGATTCTGTCTCAGTGGCCTAAATGGGGGGATGGAAGGTTGGGGCAGTCTCCATTTCTCCAAAAACTCCTGCCTGGGCATATGCATCAAAGGTCTGGGTGACCAGAAGGATCAGTGGTTGCTAAACTGCATTGAAAAGTGATACCTCTCATTTGAGGGATGAGCCTGAGTTTCTACCTTCAGATTTTGCAGTCTTTTTCCTCTTCCTTGTTGGTAACAGTAAGGGTACTGCAAGGGATTATATGATGATCTTGGATTTTTTAGTTGTTGCAGTCAAGCAAAAGGGATACAAACTCACCAGCCTGTTAGAGGAAGGATAAAGGCACACTTTTTTAATATAAAGTACAGTTGATATCTCAAATAAAGCTTGAGAGAATCAGATGTAAATGTCATACTGGGTGAGACCAGTGGTTCATCTAGCCCAGTATCCTGCCTCTGACAGTAGCAGGAGTGGATGATTTAGAGGGAGAGCATTGAACCCAGGTGTATTTAGAGTAATCTTCCTCATGTTTGTTAACATCCTTGGATCTGCTGTCATTTAGTTTAGAGATGCCAAAGGATACATTCTTGACTGTTCTGTTTAATAGTTATTAATAAATCTGTCATCCAGGAATTTCTCATCCTTTTTTGACCTGGCCATACTGTCTGCCTCTACAACCTCCTGTGATAATGAGTTTGGTAGGCTAATCATGGGCTGTGTAAAAAGGACTTCCTCTTGTTATTTTTCAAACTGTCTCTTACTAATTTCAGGGGATGCTCTATAGTTCCAGTATTCTGGCACCGGCGAATAACAGTTCCCTATTCAGTTTGTCCATACCCTGCATGATTTTTAGACGTCTGTCATATCATTCCTCAGCCTACTACTTTCCAAACTGAAGAGTCCTACACTTATTAGTCTCTCCTGGTATATGGTAACTACTCCATACCAGTGATCATCTTGGTTGCCCTTCTCTG